CCAGTCTAGATGGCTGTTTGCTTCCGTGCCTGGTGGGCTGGCCCCTTCCCTGCCTCCAACAGATGGGCTAGAGCTGCCTCCCTGGATTGTATTCCCCAGCAATGAGATCATCCCCAAAGATCCTGCTGAGACTTGAATTTCCCTGGCATTCGCTCGCTGGCTTTTTCTTGCAGCCCCACTCCTCTAGGACGTGAGCTGAGTTCCCCAGTCCCTGCCTCTGGCACGAGCAAGAGACTTTGGACACTTCTCTCCCCACCGCCCCCCACCACGAGTTTCCATTCGGAATCCCAATCCTCTTGGCCAAATCACTGAAGGTTGTTTTTTCCAGCAATACAAATTTAGAGAAAATTGTCTCACTCTCTGTACTTGGAATCTGTGAAATAATCACTGAGCAGCGTTAGCTTTCTTGGAAAACCCTTCAGAGAATTGGGCTGCCCTTGTTTATTAAACATGGTGTTTATTAGAACGATAGACTTTTGGAACTCACACCCCAGCACCACCAACAGCCTTAGAGAAGACTATTGTTTAGCCCTCATGGCCCCAGCAAGTCAGGTATGGAGGGTCCCTATGTAACAGGAGAGGAGTGAATTTCTCCCTGAGGCTACCTCCAGTTCTGGATCCCATCTGGAGTCGAGTGGGATTAGAAGGATTGAGATCCTTAAGAGTATTCCCATTTACACTTCGATATGTCAGTGGATCTAGAATCCATCCCTCTGGGGAAGCTGTCGAGTTGTTTCATTTTGTATCTGACTCTTCTTGACTCCATTTGGGGTTTTCTTGCCAAAGACACTGGAGTGGTCCTTCTCCACATCATTTTACAGACAAGGAAATTGAGGCAAACAGGGTTAAGTGACTTACCCCAGGTCACCCAGCTAGCAAATATCTGAGGCTAAATTTGAGCTCGGGCCTTCCTGACTCCAGACCAGGAGTTCTATCCACTGTGTCACCCAGGTGCCCCAACTCTGGTAGCCAAAGGGATATTCCAAAAGTGTAGGTCTGACCATGTCACCCCCTACTCAATAAATTCCACCGGCTCCCTATGACTTCTAGGGCCAATTACACTATCTCTTTGACATTTAAAGCTCTTCACAGACTGACTCCAACCTGGCCTTGGAGGCTCCTTCTACAAGACTCTTCTTCACCTTCTCTAGGGTCCAGATGAGACCAACCTCTGTGCTGAGGTTTATCCCACAACATCCCATGAGATCCCCATTTCCATGCCTTTGCACTGGATGCCTCTCTCTCCTCTTTGGCCCAGGTTCCCCCTGCTCATGTCTTTATTTCTTTACTCCTACATGAAGCTTTCCATGGATTCCACCAACCCAACCCCCTTCCCTGCTAATGCTTTCCCTCCCCAAACTACCTGATATTCATTCTGTGCATGGGCTCCAGAAACTTATATGTGCATAAGTTTGTCTCCTTCCTTGGAATGTAAGCTCATCTAGGGCGGGGTCTGTTTTACTTCTGTCTGCGTATCTCCAGTGCCTTATGCCTTTAATAATGCCTTTTTATGGATTGATTCAATCAGAAGATTCATGGACACCAGGGCAGTGATTGGACTGTCCATTTGCCATCACTTCTCCCATTTCTGCTCTCTTCTGTTCTTGATTAGGCTCTTGATACCATGGTGACCTATGAAACTAGCATGAAGATGGTGTTTGGAAAATTACCGAAGCATTTTTCTCCCAGTGTTCCAGTGCTAGAGTGCATCATGTTATAATATCCATTTCACAGATAAGGAAACTGAAGCTCAGAGGGGAAAGGGCACTACTGGTCACTAAGAACCAGGACTTGAAAACAAGTCTTTTGACTTGAAGGCCAGTCCCTTCCCACTTTATGAGATTAACTGAGTTCTGTTGCTACATATGTGACCTTGGTCTGGTCGTCAGAACATCCTTCATCTTTTTCTTCCTCCTCTGCAAAAGGTGAAGGTTGAAATAGGGGATATTAAAGACTTTATGGTCCCTCTCAGCTCTGGCATTCCCTGTTCTAAGGCCCCTCTCAGATCTTTCATTCTCCGCTAAAAGGATTGCTTCTAGCTCTCACATTCCATGACAGTTAGTGCATTCATTCAACATTTAATAAGCATCAGTTAAGGCCACCACGTGCCAAGGGCTGAGAATGCAAAATTTGTTAGTTTGTTTGTTTGTTTTTGAAAAATGAAAGAGTCCTTGAATTTCATATGCTTGCTTGGACACTGCTGCTTGTGGAATTTGGAGACAGCCTATCCCAAAAAGGACTCCAAGAGGAAGGAAAATTGGTTAATAACTAATGTCTTTGGAAAGTATGAATCTGATCATTTCTGTATGAGATGAGTCATGGTCAGGAGGATGGGAGGGGACAGTGTCACAAGCCACTGGTTGAATAAATATTGACTGAACACCTACTGTGTTCCAGTCCCTGCGTTAGACCTTGACAAGAAGGATGGGTGGGTATAGTGGAGATGGGGGAGGGTGGGGATGGAGGAAAAGGGGAGGGTAGGGATGAAGGCAATGGGGAGGGTAGGAATGGGGGAGAAGGGGAAAGTAGGAATGGAGCAAAGGATGAGGTTGGGGATGGGGGAAGGGGTAGCATGGGGTGGAGCAACGGGGGAGCTGATCCAATCTCTGACATCAGAGAGGTTTTTATTTCAGTGGAGGGTGCCCAGAAACCAAGAATCCTTGCTTTCCCAATCCACGTTCTGGCCATAACGCAGACCTTCCTACCAGCCTCCTAACTAGCTTCTCTGCCTCTAGCCTGTCTCCATCCTATCCGTCCTGCTTACCCTCACAGGTTCTACTCTCAGTAACAGGCATCTCTGGTGTCTGCTACTCCCTGGACCGACGCCCCACAGCCTGCTGCAAGTCTGGGAGAGGGTCAGGTCTCCACAACCTTCTCTGAGAGGTTTTTTGCAGTCCTCCTTAATCTCAGTGCCTTTCATCTGAGCTGCTATGTGTTCTGAGAAGGCATACCCCCGATTTATCATGTCTATGTCTTGCTCATACATGGCTGTTTGTATATTGTCCCCCCATTAGACTACGAGCTTCTCGAGGGCAGGCTCTGTTTTTTGCCTTTCTTTGGATTCTCAGAGCTTTGCACAATGCCTGGCATATAGTAGGAACTTAATAATAAATGCAGCTGGCTTGACTTGCTTTGGACATTGCAGCAAGAAGGGGGGATTGGCTGTGGGGGTGGAGGAAAGGGGAGGGGTGCTGCGGCTGCACCCCCAAGCTCTCTCCTGAGTATTTGTGTCCCATTCCCCAGGAGTGGCTCTCCGTTTTTATTCTTTAAAAGACATTTTCTCCAACACTAAATCAGAGTGAAAACTCTGGTCGTTGACAGGGCTCCCAATCAGCCAGCCGCCGGCTGACGGCAGGGCCTGCTTTATGGGCGCTTCCTCTGTGCAATCAGAGGCCAAGCTCCCCAGAATGATACATGGGGCCTAGAAGGATGAGCTGTTCCCTGTCTAACTGAGAGAAAAAAGGAGAAAAAAGACTCACAGTCTGGAGGAAGTGGGGGGTGAGGATGGGGGAGCTTTAGCGTCTCAGCCTCAGTGAATATTGGAACCAGCAGAGACCTCAGGGGTCAGTCAGCTCCAGCTCCTACTTTGCAGACCATAGCATGGTTATAGGATCAGATTCAGGGCTGAAAATGACCTGAAAAGCCAGTGTTCTATCTTCTCAAGTTCACAGATAGGAAAACTGAGGCACAGAGTGATGAAATTACTTTCCAAGGTCATATGGCTGGAAAGTAGCAGAGATGGATTTGAAACTGGATCCTCTGGTGCCAAAGCCAGGGAGCTTTCTCTGTATCCCACTAACTCTAGCTGAGGCCCAGGGTATGGCACCGAGCCAAGTCCACACACATGATTAGAGAAGGTAGAATGAACAGTTCTACTATCAACATGCTCTGTTCCAACTACCCGTGTTCTTGGAGCCTGCCCAGGCCTGGCATTCTCTGACCCAAAGACACTTTCCCTGCTTGTCACTAGCATGGTCTTCTCTGTGTGCTGCCAAAAAAGAAGGATTGATATCTTGTCCTGAATCCTATGTGCGTGCGTGTGCACATATGAGCATGGTCAGAACAGAGCAGGGGGGAAGCTTGCTGGTCTGGAAACAGACTGAGGTTCAAATCTGAACTCTGCTATTTAGCCCCTCCCCTATGGGGGAGAGAAGGAGACAGAGAGAGAGAGAGAGAGAGAGAGAGAGAGAGAGAGAGAGAGAGAGGGAGAGACAGACAGATAGACAGACAGAGACAGACAGGGACAGAGACAGAGGTGGATAGATGATAGGTATATAGGTAGATAGAAAGGCAGAAAGACAGACAGATGGATGGATGGATGAATATATAGATCGAAAGATATACAGACAAATAGAGATGGATAGATAATTAAGGTATAAATGGACAGATATATAAATATAAATATGTACATATATACCTACACATGGGCAACTAGGTGGCACAGTGGATAGAGTTCCAGGCCTGGAGTCAGAAAGACTCATCTTCCTGAATTTGAATCTGGCCTTAGACATTTACTAGCTGTATGGCCCTGGGCAAGTCACTTTACCCTGTTTGTCTCAGTTTCCTCATCTGTAAAATAAGCTGGAGAAGGGAATGGCAAACCAGTCTAGTATCTTTGCCAAGAAAAACCCATATGGGGTCATGAAGAGTCAGACATGACTGAAACATTTTAACAACATACCTGCACATACACACACACATACATCTGTATGTGTGTGTGTGTGTGTGTCTACATAAGTGAGTCAGGGAGAGTTACAAAAGTGAATCATGGATAGAGACTGGAGCTTCTTTTTATAGTAATGAGGTAGAAGGGCCATGTCTTGCTCTCTTCCTGCCCATACTGCCATCCCATTTCTTCTGATCAGATTCAGCATGGAGGTATCTGGCACGCCCAGGAAAGAATTTCCATTCATACCCTAATAAAATGCTTTTGAAAACTGCTATTCACATGTTTTTCTTTTACTTCACATTCATTTTTGAATAAATCTCATTCTTCCCCAACCCCTAAAACAGCCCTTTACACAAAAGAAAAAGAAGAAAAAAATGGCCTCAGCCAAAGTGATACATCAAGCAAGGCTGAGAGTGTGAGTGCTGGGCCACCTGTGCCAAGAGAAGGGCACCTCTGCCCTTTGTCTCCCCAGGGCACAGCCAAGGGCCAGGCACAGAGTAGGCTCTTCACTCCCTGGTTTGTTCATCTCTTCTCTGGAGCTAAGCATGATCGTTATAATCACACAGTGTTCAATTTGGAGTTTTCATTCTTTTCATTGTGCTGTTGTCATCATGGTGGGTACTGTTTTCCTGGCTCTGTTGATTTCTCTCTGCATCATTTCTTCTTTTTAAAAAAAAATTAATTAATTAATTTTAATTTTCAACATTCACTTCCATAAGCTTTTGAGTTTTTAATTTTCTCCCCCTCCTTCCCCAAGACGGCATGCAATCTGATATAGGCTCTACATATACATTAATATTAAACATTTTCACATTAGTTATGTTGTAAAGAAGAATTAGAACCAATAAGAGGAACCGCAAGAAAGAAGAAAAAAAACAGAAGGAAAAAAAGGAGCAAATAGTATACTTTGATCTGCATTCAAACTCCACAGTTCTTTCTTTGGATATGTACAGCATTTTCCGTCATGAGACTTTTGGAGATGTCTTAGATCCTTGCATTACTGAGAAGAGCTAAGCCTATCAAAGTTAGTCATCACACAATGTGGCTGTTACTGTGTACAATGTTCTCTTTGTTCTGATCACTTCACTCAGCGTCAGACCATACAAGTCTTTCCAGGTTTTTCTGAAGTCCTCCTATTCATCATTTCTTATAGCACAATAGTATTCCATTACATTCATATACCACAACTTGTTCAGCCATTCCCCAATTGATGGGCATCCCCTCAATTTCCAATTCTCTGGATCATTTCTTAATATGTCTCCTTTCCTCTCCTCTCCTCTTCTCTTCTCTTCCCCTCCTTTCCTCTCTCTTCCTTTTTTCTCTTCTCCCCTTCTCTCCTCTCCTCTCCTTTCCTTTCCTCTCTTCTCTTCCCATTCTTCCTCTTCCTCTCCTTTCCTCTCCTCTCCTCTCTCTTCCTTTCTCGGTATTTTTCATAGTCATTGTTCCTTATAGCAAAATACATTTTTTGAAATGAACAGAAAGTGTTGAGGCATAAGACAAAATTCAGCAGAACAGGTCTTGTCCCCCAGTCCTTAACTATAGACCGATCTAATAGATGTTTATTTAGTACCAACTATGTGTCAGGCACTTTGTTAAGTGCTTGGCAATACAATTAGTAAAAAAGAAATGCAGTCCTTGCCCTCGGGGAACTTGTAATCTAGTGGTGGGAGGGGAGGCCACACACAAACCAGTGGAAGGAAGTGGGACAGCTCACATAGAGGGGAAGTGACCGTCTGACATTGAATGCCCCCTCACGTACACGCATACACAACTCCCCAGGTTATAAATGAGGAAACCGAACACCATAACTAAAGTCACCAGCACTTCACACAGCGCTTGGCAGACAGTAAGTGCTTAATAAATGTTCACTGATAATGATGATATGCTTAATAAACTAGAACTAAAGCCCAAACCTCCTGGACCCTCCCTGCTCTACCAGGACTATCCCTCCCTGCAGACAGCGACTTGCTGAGATTGCTTCTCAGTCCTCCCCTCGTACAGATATGGCCTCCCTGCAAGCCTGGCCATAGAAGACCCTTGGCCCTCCCCTGACCCTGCTTGCATCTGTCTCCATTTAACTTCAGCCTTGAAAAAGCTTGAAGGAAGATGGCAGGAGGTGGAGAGCAGTGTGGAGGGGATGGGCAGGAAAGGAGGTCTGCTTTGAGTTAAGCCAAGCCCCTAGGAGTCTTTCTTTAACCCAAATACTCACTACCCCTACCTGGGGCCACATCCGGTAGAGAGGGCTGTGAGCTAGAAGATTAGCTCACCAGCCCAGAACATCCCTGGTGGTTTTTTCCTCTGTCCTTCCTCTCCAAGGGCACATAGGATCTTAGTGGAACCTGAACTGACTTCAGAGGACATTTGTCCAACCCTATCATTTTATCGATGAGGAAACTGAGGCCTATGGAAGTAAAATGACCTTAGATCCTAAACCTATAGATGGAACAGCCATTTATTCCAGTTTCCTCCCCTTACCAACGAGGAAACTGAACTTGTGTCATATCCAGGGTCATGTGTCCAGTAAGTGTCTGAGGGAAGATTTAAAGCCAGGTGTTCCTGACTGCACAGAATCTGTGATCTTATCATCCATCACACCTTTGTCTTTACAAGATTTCATGCCAATGTCGTAAGGCTTTGACTTGGTTCTAATTAGTGGGAACTACTGCACAGCTGGTGGCCAAGAGTCTTGGTCTGGGCGTCTCTGGAAGACCTTGGTAGCTGGCGTGACCTTGGATAGGTCATCCCTTCCTCTCAATTTCTTTGTAAAAATGAAAGGGTTGGACTAATTTATCCCTTAGGCCCCTTCGAGGTACAACATTCAATTCTTTCCAGTCAGTTAAGCAACATCCCCAGTTTAAATGCCCACTATGTGTCAGGCATTGAATTGGGTGCTAGAGAATCTAAAACACGAAGCTGAGGTAGCCACTGCCCTGAGGGAGCTTACATGGTGCTGGAATCACACCATGTAGCTGGGAGGGCCGGCCATTCACCCCACTTAGCCACCTGCAGCCCCTCATCTCCATCATGGACAGAGTGACCAGACCCATAAGCCTCCAGGAATTATACTATTGGCAAAACAACAACTACTTGCACCTTTTTGCAGCAGATTGAGAGCTATAAGGTAGTCTTAGGGACTTTTCAATCTAACTCCCTCATTTTACAGATGAGGCAATTGAGTGCCAGAGGGCTTGGGACTTGCCCAAGGTCACGCAGCTAGTAAGTGACAGAAATGGGATTTGAACCCCGGTCTTCTGACTTCAAATACACTTTCCACTGTCTTCTGTTCCCTTGAATAAGACATGCTTTTTCCTGATGTAACACTTTACATCAGGTTTACCATAGGAGTAACTGGGGCCCTGATAAGGCATTCTTTTCTCCACCTCAGGCCTTTTGTGAAATTGAGTAGGATATTAACTCCATCAGTGACAACTCACAGAGGCAGACCTGTCCTCTAGCAAGAGCCCAGCAACCTTCTGAAAGTGGAGGGTGGGTAGTTAAGTCCGTGCTCCCACCTTGGAGAAAGACATAGAGCCTGAATGAAATCACAGAGTGTCAGAAAGAGATGATGAAGTCAAAAAAATCCACTACCAGCAGGGGGAGGTGTGGCTGTATAGCAGATATTCTTTAAAAGATCTGGGGATCTCAGTGGACTGCGAGCTCATTATAAGTCAATAGTATGATATCTGCCAACGAAACTAATGCACTCTTAGTATCAGGTACTAAGGAAGCAGAGACTATTTTGTGTTTCTCTTTGTTTACCTAGTGTATAGCACTGTGGCAGATTACTCAAGAAATGCTTATTTGACTGAGTGAATATTTCCTCCCTGCCCCCACTCTCCCGCTTTCAGGACTTAACCCTGGTCAGAGAACGGAGAATCTTGTTCAGTTCTGGGTACCATAGATCAGGAATAGCACTGATGAAGGGAATGAGGGTGGATAAAGTTGTTTTGTTCAGTCATTTTAAGTGGCGTCTGACTCTTTGTGACCCCATTTGGGATTTTCTTGGCAGAAATACTGGAGCGGCTTGCCATTTCCTTCTCCTGCTCATTTTACAGATGAGGAAACTGAGGCAAACAGGGTGAAGTGACTTGCCCAGGGTCACCCAGCTAGTAAATGTCTCAGGCCAGATTTGAACTCACGAAGGTGAGCCTTTGTGACTCCAGGCTTGGAGCTCTGTGCACTATGGCACCATCTCACTGCCTCAGGATAGATAAAGGGTCTCAAAGTATTGTCATAATACAATTTGTTGAAGGAACTGGAGGTAAATAGCCTGGAGAGGAGAAGACTGGGGGATGGGGAAGGGGAAGACAGATGGACATGATAGCTTCATCCAAGTATGGGAAGGGCTATTTTACAGGAGAGAGAGGAGACCCAATCTGTGTGGTCCTAGAGGGCAGAACTGGGGCAGATTCCTGCAGGTGGCACTTTTTCCACTTTAGGAAGAAAAGATAACAGGAAATGAAACAAACAAACAAACAAAAAATCTTGCTGACCTCAGAACTGTCCAAAAGTAGTTGCCTTGACAGATGCTGGGTCCTTCCTCACTGGACATCTCCAAGTCAAGACTCCTGCTCAGGGATGTTACAGAAGGGAGTCTGGTCAAGGTACAAGCTCTGGGTGGGGCCCTGAGCATCCCTGCAGTTTTGAGATGCCAAGAATCAGTAACATAAAATAACCCGACCCATGCTGTATCCTAAAACACAGAATAAATACTTATCAAGGAACTTAAAATCCCACAGACTCAAAAATGATTAGAAATAGAATGAACCTGGGTCCCTGGTAATTTCACAGATGAGGAAACTGAGGCCCAGAGCGCTTAGAAGACTCCCCAGGGTTACCCAGGAAATTTGCAGCTGTCTCAGAGTTGTGATTTCTTGCACCCTGGGCAGCCTGGGCTTCAGAATCTCTGCCTTCCAGCCTTCCCTGGTCTTCATCAGAATCCTGCTGTCTGCCTATTTTTGTCTCTATTGAAAAAGCAAGTTTTCTTTTTTCTTTTTCTCTTTCTTTCTTTCTTCCTTTCTTTTTTTTAAACAACAGCTCAGCTGAGAACAAAAGCCCACAGAGTATTTACTCAAACATTTTATACTCTGGCTGTGCAAACCCTCCTTCTGTCCTGGAGCCAAAAATAATAAAAAATAAGTAAAATATAGAGAGACAGACAGAGATTTTTGACAAGCTTTTGCACATATAGTCTGACCATCACTGGTGAAATAGAGACATACTGAAGGGAAAGTGTGTGTTCGACTCTTTCTATGTGAATGTTTCTACAAAATCACTTGGGTCACCTGAACCACTGTCTCTGAAGCTTAAATACCAAAAAGGACAGAGCACATTTGTTGAAGACCTACTATGTACTGGCATTGAGGGGGGTGGTACCGAGAATTGAAGATTCACAAAATGCCAGATCTTCAAGGAAGCTCATCAATTAATCAATCGCTATGAATGCAATTAATCACTGACTATGAAAGACTGGGCTTCCAGACCGAGACTCTGACACACATTCTATGTGACAATGGGGGAAATCACAGGGACTGCAGTTTTTTATTTTAAATTATTATATTATTCCTTTCTTTGTATCCCTGGTACTTAATTCAGTGCCTGGTGCATAGTAGGAGCTGAACAAATGCTTTGGGTCTGACTTACTGATCACTTCTCAATGGCTCAGGCAACCCCCTTTAAGAGTTTAATTTGCCAAGCTGGATTGATAGAGGACATTTCATCACCGTGAGTTCCTTCTGTCAGGGAAATCATAGGTCTAGCAACCCCCTCAAAAAAAAAAAAGTAACAGAAACTATACTAGGTACTGGGGATACAATTTACATCATTGTTGAGTCATTTCAGTCGTGTCCGACTCTCTATGATCCCATTTTGGGGTTTTCTTGGCAGAGATACTGGAGTGGTTTGCCCTTTCCTTCACCAGCTCATTTTACATATGAGGAAACTGAGGCAAACTGGGTGAAGTGACTTGCCCAGGGTCACCCAGCTAGTAAGTGTCTAAGACCAGATTTGAACTCAGGAAGATGAGTCTTCCTGACTCCAGACATGTTACTCTATCCACTGTGGAAGAACTCAGGAAAACCTGTGCTCAAATCCAGCCTCAGGCACTCATTAGCTGTGTGACTTTGGGCAAGTCACTTAACCTCTGTCTGTCTCAGTTTCCTTTTCCATAAAATAGGGATAATAATAGCGCTACCTCTACTTCCAAGGGTTATTAGGAGACAACCAAAATGAGCTAATATTTATAAAGTGCTTGGCACCTAGAAAGCCCTTCAAAAATGTTTGTTTTCTTCCTTCCTTTCTAGATCATGCATTCTTGCTCCTTCCCAACTCTGTCCTTTTATGTTCTAAAGTCTCTCCCAGCCCTGACATCATCTATGCAAGGTCTCTCTTGATTCCCAGTATCTATATTCTAAAGCATAAAAGGAGTTCTGAGATTCTATGCCCCAAGACCCCTCCTAACCCTGACATTTGGTATTCTAGATACCAAGGTTTCCTCCAGTAGGATGTAAGATCCTTGAAGGCAGGGAACATGCTTTTGTTTTTTATTCCATTTTAGTTGATATTCTCACTATCTAGCAGAGTATCTTGTACATGGTAAATGTTTAATCAATTCATCTTTTCTATCAAAATTCCTTTGTGCTAATTTGCACATAGTCAGTCAATCAATACATATTTATTAAAAGCCTACTATGTGACAGGTGCTGGAGAAGCGTTTAGGGGTAAGTGTTGGGGATACAAAAAGAGGCAAAAGACAGTCCGTGCCCTCAGGGAGCTTACAATCTAATGGAAGAGACAAGATGCAAATGAGGATGGGGGGGTTATTGGATCAGTGGTAGGCTGGACTAATTTCTCTGATGGACAGCAAATCTGGCTCTTAGCATTATTGTTCCCTCTTCCTCCTGTGCTTCTGTCACTGTCGTCTAATAGCAACAACAGAAAGTTACAAACAATGACAAGAAAACACATCTTCCTGATAATCTCATCTATAGAAAACTTGAATGAGCTTTTGGGAATGGTCTTCTTGGCAGAGATCTGGAAGTGGTTTGCTATTTCCTTCTCTAGTTCATTTTACAGATAAGGAAACTGAGGCCAACAGGGTTAAGTGACTTGTTCAGGGTCAATAAGCAACAGAAGGAAGGCACAGGCATTGAGAGGGGTTAGGGAAGGCTTCCTGTAGGAGGTGGGATTTTAGTTGGAGCTTCAAGAAATGCCCTCTTTATTTAATTCCTAGTGTATGTGCCTACCCTGGCAGGATGTAAGATCTCAAGGACAACCTGTGCTTCCTGGTTGCCTTTGTATCTCTAACAGGGTGCCTTGCACATAGTGGGGACAGAGTATGTATGTTTATTGAATAGGATTTGATTGAGCCCAGCTCTGACATTCCATGTCCAATGTTATAAGGTCTCTTCTAGCTCAAATAATTTAACATTTCTTCATCTAAGACATCTGTAGTTGGCTGTCTCCAAGAATTTCATGGAATAAACAAAATAAAGTCGCTAGGGGAAACTGCCCAGGTTCTCCCAGTGGCTTTGCTTATCCTGGTTAATTAAAAGGATTCTCTTTCAGCATCCTCCCAAGCCCCACCCTTTGCACTGGGCAGGGACAATGCTAGGTTCTCTACTTCCAGTCTGGATTTTCCTGAAGTGACTCCTGGCTCTGGGTATGTTTTGCCATTGGCTCAGGTTCCCCTTCTGTCCTTCTGGCCAAGGGGTCTGGCATTGACTGTCAACAGCTAAGGGCCTTTGCAGCTGAGCCAAGAAGGGAGGAGGGCTCAGGGGACTCTGGGCGACGCCTGGTGAATGGTGCCATAAAGATGAAAGAAAAGACTTTGGAGAGGCCAATCTCCCTGCTTGGCTGGTGATGTTACCATGGTGCTCCTTGCACTCTTTCAGTGGCTCCAAGGAGGTCCATGGGTCAGAGAAAGGCCTCCTAATTTGGAGGGAGGTCGGCTGTACATAGAGACTGTTACCAGAGGTGGGACTTGTTACTCAACAAGAGATCTCTTTCCCTTGATGTGTGTGAGTAATGAGCATAAACATGAGCCTAGGGACTTAGACTAGCTGACTGGGGGCCATGAGGGCCATGGAGTACTACTGCTGCAAAACCTAATCAAGAGGCAGAAAGGAGTGTGTGTGTGTGCGTGTATGTGTGTGTGTGCGCACACGTGTGTGTAGAAAAATGATTGACTTGGAATTTGAACAATCTGGCTCAAGTGCCACCTAGAATATTTACTATCTGTATGACCCTGGTCAAATCACAACCTCTCTGGGCCTCAATTTTATCATCTTTCAAATGGGAAAATAACAGCACATACTTCACAGGATCATGGTGAGTTTCAAGTGAGAAGATGTATGTAAAATGCTTTGTCAACCTTAAAAAAAACTCATGTAAATGTGAGTTATTCTTGTTATCATCATCTTTTCCATCAAAATCTTTTTCATCATTTGCACAGGGACTAACTCTATGATTTTATCTGTGTGGGGAGAAACTTTCTTGCTCCACTGGAGGTGAGCCCACAGAGTCTTAGAAGGTGGATAGAGATAGGAATAGGGAAGCCACCTGGGATTTCATTGGCAGAGAGAACTCCCAGTCAAGGAAACGCCTTCACCAATACAGGCAGACACTCTCTCCTCGAGTTAGAGTGTGAGAAAGTTTGGCGAAACATGAACTCAGGTCTTCCTGTCTCTTAGGGCAGCATTCTGTTCATAAGCAACTACCCATGTTACCTCTTGCCATTTTTCTTTTGTCTTAGCATCAGATAACTTTATTCACCCTACTAAGCACAATAATAATGTTATGTTTATATAGTACTTGAAAGTTTACAAAACACTTTCCTCACAGGGACCCTGTGAGGCCTGTTATTTAAGTATCAGCTCCATTTTACAGATAAGGAAATTGAGGCTTAGAAAACACTATTATTTTACTAGATTTTTATTGGTATCTTAATGTTCTTCCATTGCCTAAATTTTCCCTTGTGTGGTTTCCTCTTCTCCTCCCTCTTCTTTATAAATGTTTAAAAGAAAGAAAGATTCCCTCCTCATCCTGTTCCCACTAAGTGATTTTGACTAATATAAATACACGAATTAAAAATAAAAGACATATTAAGAAAGAACTGATAAATATAAGTATGTATAGAATAATTTTACACACACATATGTGTGTATGTGAGTGTGTGTGTGTATATGTGTGTGTATGTGTGTGTGTATATGTGTGTGTGTGTGTGTGTGTGTGTGTGTGTGTGTGTGTCTGTGTAATGGTAGCCATCTCTGGGGGAGGAGGGAAGAAAAAAAGAAAAAAAACAAATTTGCATGATTATATTTATAAGGAATAGCAAGTTGTACATAATAGATCTGCAGTTTCATATGCAATCATCTTTTTTATTATGCTATGTTATAGAAATGCTTTTTTATCCCATAAATCAAAAATTAAATAAACGAAAAAGAAAAAAAATAAAGAGGAAAAGGGAGGATCAATAAAACAAGCCAAAAAATCTAGCATCATCTGCAATGTTGCACTCCATGAACCTTCCACTTCTGTAGGATGAGGGGGGTGACTTCTTCTCCTATCTCCTTTTAGTGACTAAGATTATTGTTTAGGATTTTGCCACAGTTCTCTTCCACTGTTATAGTCACTGT